CCTTGCAAGTAGTTCGCAATGCGAACCTTCTTCTCCGTACCTGTTTCATCCAACGCACCAACTTCTTGCAAGTACCGCATTGACTCTGTGAATTGATACTTGGTCGTATCAACTCGCCCATAAAACTTTCCAAGAGGAATACGACCGTCGCCATCAGCATCAAGGTCCATGAGATCCGCCTTCATCTGCTGACACTCCATGTTTTGCCATTTGCCATAGCCGTGGGCAAGCTCTTCAACAATGTCCAGAGTGTCCTGCATTTGCTCAAAAAGCGGGTATGTCAGAAAACATCTTTCTTAGACCCGTGGTTCCGCTCAATACTGGCATGTCATCGCATAAATCATCATGGCATATACATATGTATGTATGTATGTGTATACATATATATACAGAACCCACAGCTTGCCCATCATGCATCCTGCCAATCCCTGCCTCGAAAGTGTACCGCGGCTCGACAAAAGGGTTGGAGGTGTCTTTCTTGGCATAGTTGAAATTCATCACCGCATCCTTCTGGAAATCCACAACCGTAGGCCAGTCATCCCTACGAGAGACCCTGGCCTTCAAAGCACGGTGCAACCGTGCATCAGACAAATTTCCTTTGCTGCCCAGCTGAAAGAGCAAAAGGTAAGAAGTGAGCACATCGTGCACCCGGCTCTGCTCCACTTCTCCAAACATGCTGACATCGTTGAAGGCATAAGCTGCACGAAGCAAAGCCAAAGATTCATCAAATATCAATCGTTCCAACGCGGCAATCATGGTGACGATGTCTGTCAGGGCCAGGCCATGATTGGAGCGCCGTGCTTCCAACAATGACTCAACAAGTGCAGGAGCCTTGTCCCGCAAGATGCTCACCTCATGAACTTCAGAGACATTCGCCTGATTTCCATGTGGATCCAAGCCCTGAATCAGCCAGCCATGCTCTTTCATGAAGTAGTTGTGCACCAAGTATCGAACTCCGCGAGGGGTCAAGCGACCCACATCGTTTTTGGGTAGAGCCTGAAATGTTTGCCACACACGCTCTTCAATGCGAGCAGAACGCATCCTTGAGTCGTCATCACCATCCAACACTGTTTGCATGGCAGCTTGCAAGCCGGCTTGAACTTCCTCCACAGAAATAGTGCGTCCTTCCTCTCTGCTGCTGCCACGAATGCTACCTGCTCGACACAGAGCCACCAGGGAAGCAACCACGAAGCTGCGCCCAACAAAGCTCATGATGAACACGAAAGAGAGATCGTGAGGCTCGCCAAGGAGCCTGTAAGGAGTAGAACTTACGACAGCCGGCGTGCGGCTGTGAAGGAGGGCCTGAAGACAAGTTTGAGCCTGTCACTGCAAAGTGCATGCCTGCCAACGTGCAGCAAACAGCGCAACTGAGTTGAATGTGTGGCAAGACCAGCTCTGATTACTAACTAGCACGGGGTCACTTTCCACTCTCACACAACAGTCTTTCTTTGATTTCAAGTGAGTCCAGTTCATGGCCTTAGTGTGCGAGTTTCATGTGTCCATGCACAAGTAAACAAAAAGAGCAGAGCAAAAAAGTTCAGTTCCTCTGTGAGTCCGCTCGGCTTCATGTCCTAATTTTACATCAATCTCCCGCGGGGGGGGTCCAGTGTTCATATCTATATAGACTTCCTCTTCTGAGAGTTCAAACCTCAAACTCAAGTCCGAGTTTCGTTGAGTTCAAGCGGGCCACTTGTTGACACTGACAGGTGCAACAACACAAGCAACAAACACCTTCCCGGTGACTTCTGGTGATCTTTTTTACACATTATTCTCTTATTGAAGCACACGAGCTTGATGGTTAATTTTGGTTTGAAGACTCCATGGGTGGCTGGTGCTGGTCCACCGTGGTTTGTGGTTTTGCCTTAAGATGATATGTGGTCATTTTTGGTAACCTGTGTGATCCTACTCCGGTCGAAGTTAAGTGGTGCAAGTGTTTCTCTCTCTCTCTCTCTCGAACGCAGCTCCCTTTACACACTCCGAGGCTCCATTTGGAGGCTTAGCCGGAGTCGGGATCTAGCTACGGAAAAATGCAATGCCACAGGGTGTTTAATTGAGTTTTGTGTGCAGTTGATGGACAGACAGGTGCTTAACCGAAAAGACGGCCCCAAAAGGCGTCGACATATGTATCGTAAAGCCAGTTTGCTTTGGGTTTTCCCACTCGACGAAGGTGTTCAACTCGAGGATGGTTAGTTCCAGGGATCATTGCTGTGGGCACGTAATATATGTCCGAGAAGGGTTGTTTTCCGATTGCGCCATCAGATGGAAAGCGGAGCATGCAAATAGTCATGCTGCTGTATGAGCCTATCAATAACTTGTTGGTTGGTCCGTTCTCTATCGATATGGGTAGGCGGAACCCCAAGTATCCGTCTCAACATTGTCGTTTTACGAGGCATCCAACCTATTCTGCTCTTGAGCTGTGAGTTGTACAGTGTCTAACCCATACAGAGGTTTGCAAACGATAACTGCGTCAAAAACTCGAGTAAGCGACGTGTGTGTGTGTGCTTTGGACAATAGACGCTTTGGTTGATTAGCTGTCGCAGTAGCTTCATGTAGCTTCGCCAATGCGAACTTCTATCAACCATATCGCTCAAAGCGACTTCGAACAGGATTTCTTGGGAACCAAAGAACCATCGACGCTGGCTGATGTACTTCTGCCCCAACAGCTTTAGAGACATGCTGAAGTACTTCTCGAGCTTGGACTCCTTTGGGTACGCCAGGCCTCTCCTGCCGTCAACGGTTGCGCCTTGCACCTCACACTTGGCCGACCTCTCAACAGCCTTCTTTTCACTCCTTGGGACCGACCAGACATGATACTCCTGCCGCAACGCCAAGATCTGGTCCGCTACCGTTCCTTCCTGGTCAATCATGCCGGTTGCCGTGACCTTCTCAAGGAGGTCGTAGTTGTCCAAGTAGACCCTCCACGTTGATCCTGCGGCTGCAAAAGGTCGGTCTTTTCGAAGCGCCGTGGACTCCAGAGCTGGCCGCTCCTCAAGGCCATACGACCACTTGACCAGGTTGCGGTGCACATTCTGAGCAAGACTCACGGAGTTCAAAAATCCCATAGGCAGGACCCTTGACGCGAGATATACCGTCTTGCCCTGCAGCTCTCCAGGGAGGATGTCATCAGGAACTGGTTTGTTAAATGCCGAGTACTTAGACCAGCACTCTGGAACCTTCATGGTATAAAAGAAACACTTCACATCCTCAGAAGAGACGAGAAGGCTTTCACTTTTCACCACGTTGCAAGGAAAAAGGGCTCATCATGCTCCATGAGGGCAGGGTATCAATGTCACCGGCCAACGGCTGGCAGATGGAGTTGAATGGTATGAGATTCATGATTAAGCGACAAATCTCAACCCCTCCCGGGGTCCATTCTTCCTGCGAAACCCCGAATAGGCCGTTCAGGAGTGGACCACTCCCGGTATGAAAGACCTGCTCCTCTTCCAGGAGGCAACAAACTCCCGCTCGGAGCAAACCAGTGCACAGCTCACCCCATGCACCGTCCTCAACCATCACTTTGGAGCGTTTGATAACACCCCAAGGTACGACAGGCCGCGCAAATTGGGACACCGAACAAGTGGCAGCTGGCGCAAGACGTGCAAATGCTTGAAGCCAACACTGCAGAAAACAAGGACATGTGAACAACATCTTAACCTACGGGGACGCAGATACATATATATATATAGTATTTCCGCGGCTTAATACCAGATATTGGGGCTGGTTGCCTCGGTGTGTACAGTTTTCTTTTGATATCTTGGAACATGGCTGACATGACTATGCCAAAGAGATATGGTGATAAGGGGCACCCTTGGCGTATACCGAAGTTTTGTCGTTTATAGGATGAAGAGGCATCGCGGTTTACAACTTTGAATGTGGCATCTTTGTAGATGTTAGAGATTGATCGACTGATATTGTTTGGAAGCTGTAGCCTACAAAGGACTTCAATAAGGACTTCCAGCAATTTAGCATGATCTATTTTATCAAATGCCTTTTCCCAATCTAGAAGGATCAAGGAGAGATTTGTGCCTTGTCTCTCAGAGATATCCATTAACCTTCGTGCTACAAAAAGGGCATGAGCTGCGGAGCGCGCTTTTCTGAAGCCAGATTGGGTCTTCGACATCAAATCTTCGACAAATTCCACTAGTCACATTTTTAGTAAAGATGCCAAAACTTTGTAAAAGGTAGGGAGAAGAGCTATGGTCTGTAGTTTCAAGTTTTTCAGGGTTGCCTTTTTGGTAAATGGAAGCTATATTTGCGCATTTGCGCGCGTTAAAGAAGTAGAGTATCTAGTTTCCAATAGAATAGCATTGTATAGCTCCAGCAAGCGGCGGTTACCAGAGTCAAGCCTTTTATATAACGAGCTCGGATTTTATACTATCCAGTCCTGGCGATTTGTTGTTTGCAGGTTATCTGTTGCTGAATTCAATTCTGCAAAATCCCAAGCAGTGGATTTGGTAGTTTGACCTTGGTTTGTAAGAAGGGGCAGCGGTACTTGGGGTGAAGGGGCAGGCTGTTTCCATTGAACATTAGATCGGTATTCGGCTGCTCTCTCTGGGAAGTCCATGCTCTGATGGGGTTGCCGCCAGTGTCTTTAAAACAGGTGTGCTTAGGGATAAATTTAGGTCGAAGTCGCTTGATTCCTTGGCAGCGATATCCACGTCTATCGATTTCTTCAAGTTGTTCTTTCAAAAATTGTCTTCGTTCAGTCCGAAGTTGTTTCCAAAGCTGTTTTTCAATGTCTTCAGCGTCATAAGTAAGGCCTTGTGCAAGTTTGTGTTGCTTGTGCAAAGGAGTTGCCAAAAAGTAGCAAATATATGTGGTTTCTTTTGCTTGGACGGTATTGGGGTAAAACTATGTTCTGCAGTTTTGGTGCTCTGCTAATTTGCGGTCGCTGGCAAATGATCGGCAGCTGTGAGTGAGCTTGCCGGTGAGCAGTGATGTGCTGTGATTTTGGTGGTTCCATTTATATAACATATGTGTATATATATATAACATATACTGTAACTGTCCTATTGAACCTGAGCAGAAAGAAGAGATCGATAACAGGGACTACAGTACTGTAAAAAAGCATGAGATTGGATCAGACAGATTTGGAGGAAGTGCGACATGAGGTTGGTGAGACGGTGAGGCTGAACAATATGCGGTGTTCCCGTTGGAAGGAAATGAAAGGATCGGATAGACTGTGCAGCTCGATTGACTTGTCTCATATTGCAGCATGACTGATCACGACCAGGAGGCATTTGAAGGAAGAGAGATTTAAAAAGAATGCTTTTCCAACAGCCGCCAATACTTTTTGCCAACATGAGAACATTCATTAGCAACATCTGAATGACAATCTGCACTCAGAGCGGGAGCTGGTAGTCCTTCTTCATGCTATCTGCCCCCATCGACCGGAGTGTCTTCCAGTTGCTTGCAGCTGCACGCATCACAGTCAACAAGACTGCGACCTGCATCATGGTGCGGAAGATGTTGCTCTTGATTAGCTGGGGCTCCTGAACATGTAGCACCTCTTCTGAAGCCCAAGCAATGTCAGCCACTGTAGTTGACTCACTTTCTTCAAGAGCTGCAGAAGCAAGTGCATATCGCCGCTCTGGCTCCAGGGCCACCTTCTTGTCCATCCAATGGGAGGGTGTAAGAGTCTTTGCTTCTTCAACCATGTGTGGATATGGGCACTCGTTGGGGAATGCAAAATGCAGCCATTCAGAGAAGAGACGCCCATGCAAAGGAACCTCTCCTCCATTTTGGGCTGCAATCTTGTGAAGCCTCTCCGACATTGCCAAGGGCAATTGACGAGGAGCATCCACTGTGGAAGAAGAAATGTTGCCTACAAGTCGGAGCAGCTGCATGGGCTCTGCTGTTGGTGCTTGGATCTTCACTTCCAAGTCATTCAAGACACCCTCGCACTCGCTCAAGCAACAAACGGAGTAGTAGGTTGATGAAGCGATGCAATTCGAGGGGCCTTGCAAGTAGTTCGCAATGCGAACCTTCTTCTCCGTACCTGTTTCATCCAACGCACCAACTTCTTGCAAGTACCGCATTGACTCTGTGAATTGATACTTGGTCGTATCAACTCGCCCATAAAACTTTCCAAGAGGAATACGACCGTCGCCATCAGCATCAAGGTCCATGAGATCCGCCTTCATCTGCTGACACTCCATGTTTTGCCATTTGCCATAGCCGTGGGCAAGCTCTTCAACAATGTCCAGAGTGTCCTGCATTTGCTCAAAAAGCGGGTATGTCAGAAAACATCTTTCTTAGACCCGTGGTTCCGCTCAATACTGGCATGTCATCGCATAAATCATCATGGCATATACATATGTATGTATGTATGTGTATACATATATATACAGAACCCACAGCTTGCCCATCATGCATCCTGCCAATCCCTGCCTCGAAAGTGTACCGCGGCTCGACAAAAGGGTTGGAGGTGTCTTTCTTGGCATAGTTGAAATTCATCACCGCATCCTTCTGGAAATCCACAACCGTAGGCCAGTCATCCCTACGAGAGACCCTGGCCTTCAAAGCACGGTGCAACCGTGCATCAGACAAATTTCCTTTGCTGCCCAGCTGAAAGAGCAAAAGGTAAGAAGTGAGCACATCGTGCACCCGGCTCTGCTCCACTTCTCCAAACATGCTGACATCGTTGAAGGCATAAGCTGCACGAAGCAAAGCCAAAGATTCATCAAATATCAATCGTTCCAACGCGGCAATCATGGTGACGATGTCTGTCAGGGCCAGGCCATGATTGGAGCGCCGTGCTTCCAACAATGACTCAACAAGTGCAGGAGCCTTGTCCCGCAAGATGCTCACCTCATGAACTTCAGAGACATTCGCCTGATTTCCATGTGGATCCAAGCCCTGAATCAGCCAGCCATGCTCTTTCATGAAGTAGTTGTGCACCAAGTATCGAACTCCGCGAGGGGTCAAGCGACCCACATCGTTTTT